GGGGGGGGGGGGGGGAGGTGCGTCCACGCGCCTCCTCGAATCTACGTCCGGATCCTTTTCCTTCTCCTTTTTCTCCTCCTCGCCTTCTCCCCCCTCCCCCTCCCCCCTCCCCTCTCGCTCACTGTCCTTTCCTCTTCTTCGCTGGACTCCGAGTCTACTTCTACTGCGGGCCTAGACTATTCTTTGGCTACATACGCCTCCTACAGGTACCAGGACTCAAACAAGCGCCTGCGTTCGTCCGACAACAGTTGGCCCCAGCTAGACTCAGTCAAAATACCATTGTGAACCCAACAGAACCCCGGCTGTAGAACGAAGACCCAAACGTGTCCAATTCTTCAACTAAGGTAACTCTTACAACTAAGGTAACCCTTACGCCAGGCCATGCTGGTAGTTCCCCGCTGCAATGGGAAAGCAGTCACAGCCTCCGCAACGATGCCGGCCAAACGACACTGCTCATGGGCCGGCCGAAACCCTGGCCAAAAGAGATCCAACGCAAGCGCGCCGTCCACTTGACACGGTGGATGGGCTGATCAAAACCATCGCCGAACGCGACGCGCTCTAGCGACGCCAGCCTCACGACTTGGCTAATCGGCTGATTGAAAGAATCACTAAAATCAGCTGCCGCAACGAGGCCGGCCAGACGACCTGGTGGATCGGCTGGTTGAATGACCTATAGAAGCTGCATGACTGCAGAGAGTACGGCCACACCACTTGTGCGATAGGCTGATTGAAGCTGTCGCCAAAGCTCAGGCGCTTCAGCGACGTCGGCCACGTGACACAGTGGATAGGCTGGTCAAACGTCCCTTGGGGTTCATCGAATCCCAGAGTCTTCAGCGACGCAGGCCACTTGACTTGATGAATTGGTTGGTTGAATGATTTGCCAAATGCCAGGTGCCGCAACGAGGCCGGCCAGACGACTTGGTGGATCAGTTGGTTGAAGCTTCCGTTGAACGTCAGTCTCGGCAGAGAGTGCGGCCACACTATTTCTGCGACAGGCTGATTGAAACCAGGCCCAACAGAAAGATATTTCAGTGACGTATTGAACTCCCCATCAAAACTCAGCCCGTGCAAGGACGCCGGCCACACCACCCTGTCCACTGGCTGCTTGAAGTCAGCACGGAAATAAATATTTTGGAGGCATGTGGACCAAGCCGCCCCGTTCACTGGCTGATTGAAGCTGGCACCGAAATGGATTTCCTCTAGAGACGGCGGCCACGAGATGTCCTAGATGGCCTGGTTGAACGCACGGCCAAGCTCAAGATGCACCAGCGATGCCGGCAAAGAGGTTCCGTCGATCCTCTGGTTGAACTCCGACAAAAACGCATCCGAAAAGCGAAGACGTTGCGGCGACGCCGGCAGTACACCCCCCTGAATCGACTGATTGAAACTCCAACCAAACGACAGATCCCGTAAAGACGCCGGCCTCACTGCTTTGTCCATTGGCTGGTTGAACTCTTGACCGAACACAAGTTTTTCGAGGGATGTGGGCCAAGTGACGTTGTCGACTCGTTGGTTGAAGTGTTCACCGAAGACGATTTCCTGCACGGAAGCAGGCAAGCGGGCCTTGTCCATCCGCTGGTTGAAATCTCCCCCGAACGTTATGCGGCGCAGCGACGACGACAGCACGATACCGTCTATCGGTTCGGTTTACTTCCACATCACCCCACGCACTCGAAAGACCGGCACGCGAGTCGCAGCCATAGGACCCTCAGGTGCTGTGATGCAAGGCTCCTGGCCGTCGCCGTCAAGGGCGGCACCAGACCATAGACGAGGCGGCGTACCCGTGTCCACTGTCACGCACGGTGAGGGAACATTCCGGCATGCCACGCAGAATGGCAACGATGCCAGCTGGAGGGTAGCCACCGACGTGCACCATTTCTTCCCGCCCCAACTTTGGTTCAGGGCAACAATGAACGCGTCCAGACAGCGATTGGGACCTGCAAGAACAAAAAACATGATCCAAGCATGTCGACGAAGAGTTGCCTAGGAATGCCTCGAGGTTTGACACGGATGAATGTTGAACGAATAGAGGGAAGAACAAGCCGCAGCATGGGTGGCACGGCATCACCATCTGTTTGACTCCATTCGAATGTATGAGCATTGCTGACCGTCGCCACTCCGAAAGCAAGCGGCTTTCCTGGATTGAACATATTCCCGTGGTGGTATGACGTTCCAGCAAAACTCCAGTTGTATGTCCGCAGTGATGAACGCATCCAACAAAGCGCAGGTCTGACCCCAAATAAGTACCAAGTGTTTCCTTCTTTCCCCTTTGGGTGCCGCAGTGCCCTGATTGCAATATGTAGTTAAGGATGAAGCTGCGAGAAAAAAATCTGCAGTGCATTCGTGGTTCGATAAAGGAGGGTAGAGAGACAACGCCCCTCGATCCTCTTGTACATCGGGATCCCCTCCTGTATCGATGGGGGTCATCCTCTTACAGCGAATTTCTCAACAATGAACAGGGGAGAACGAGAACCCAAGGCACCTACGTACAGCACAGCGTATCGTATGTCGTGAAAAGTTTGCATGTATGCACGTGGGACTGATATAAGACCGAATCGGTATGCCCAAAAGCAAGCCACGCGAATGTGATGGTGGTAGCAATCCTTTTCGTGTAGATATCTAGTTCGATTCATGGAGTATTGAAGTAACGTTTTGCTTCAAAATAAAACTGCCGCCACAGCAGTCACGATACGAGGAAATATGAAGAGACATAGTCTAAATGCATGTATGCACCTGTAGCACATACATGACCTTACAAAGAACTTGGGCAATAATGGTGTTGGTAAGGAAGCGCGACGGGTCTCCCCCCTCCTCCATACGCATCACAACACTAGGAAGGGGCTACATCTGAAGCGATCGGCAACCTCCCTCCGGAAATCAACTGTAATTTTCATTGTCAGCTTCCTTGAATAATAGTACTACCTACAACGGGGCTCCGCCTGCCCGGGGGCTGTGCGACAAAGTCCACACATAAGCTCGGGGGCTGCGCGATTAATTCCACACATATGCTAAGTCCACACATATGCATGAGGGTATGGGGATAGCCTACGAATAGATGCCAAGTGGTCATCGTAAAGACGAAGGCTGACCAATGCCAACCGCTGAAAGAGACGAAGGTTATCGATTCTGTGATGGAAATTATGTCACCCCAACGAGGAAGGGAAGCGCATTTCGCTGAAGGAAAACGTTCCATTCAACGAAATGCACCGCACGTATCGGACGCACTGAACATTGCTGACTGGGCAAGAGCACAAACGAACATGAAAATACGGGAATACGTCACCAAACTACGTAGCCAACAAACCTCGCAGATGGGGACCAAGATTCAAAAATAAGCTCGTGGGCTGATTCAACACCTTGGGGCGACCGTACAGAAACGAAAATGTCATGAAATCGGTACGACGCCTCGAACGAAAACTTACGGAATGTAACAAAGATGCGTACTAGCTCGGGGAGCTATGCACATAAACAGGAGAAACGATGATGCAAGAGTTTGAGATAATGTCGCTGTACCTTGGAAGCTGGCTGTCATCTGTATATTTACATTTATCTGGTTGAGTCAGCTTCCAGCTACGCCGAGAAATAACTCACGTGCTTATCCACAACACCAGCCACAAACAAGCCTTGTTTATCCACAACGCCTTGTTGCTCTGTTGTCGCCCATGCTACACAGTGCTACAGTGTTTCAAGACAAATACTAGCGTTGAGGCCCACCACAACCAAGAGGGTATCAGCAGCGAGTGCATAAGTCAGATCAGCAGAGTGCGGAGGTCGCGTAGGAGGGCATGGTAGAACCCAACCGACCAAAATAGCCCTTCGCACAGGTGGAACCAACCGTGGTGTGTTCGAATAGACCTTCTCTCAAAGGCATCCAGAGAGGTGATGCATTTGCGGTTCCGGATAATTGAAGCTTCCAGTCACAGCTCGCGTTGCGTCGCGGTCGCCTCTAGCGTAGGGCACGGAGAACACCAGCACGCGGGACTCCCACGGCAGGCTGCACACATTTCAGCCCAGCCATGGGCGAAAATATGATCTAACAAACAATGGATGTGCAATCAATATTGATTCAAACGCATACGGTGCCAGAGCCAACTTGCTGCGCTAGTAGTAGAGAGGCACACATCACTTGGAGGTCGGAAAGGGACGGCAAATCGAAATGGCGGCAGAAGCACAGCGATGTATCAAGGTTTGTTGGCTTCTGGGACTCGAGCACCATCGTGGAAGAAACATTAGTCGGCTCACCCGCCACAGCACACGCGACCTTACTGCTGTACTACGCACTCCTATCTGGTTTCCTGACTGGCGTAATGTGTGAGATTCATGAGGTGTTCGTCGTTGTGTTAGCGTCCGCACTAGTACGTTTGTGATCTTGTGTTCTGTGATCCATGCTCCGGAGTACATCGGGATGCGCCGCTTCGTCGCTTTCCAATTTCGCGATTGGAGTGCCTCGAGGGTGGCGCGAATCCTGACTATAGGGCATGCTCTTTTTTCCATTTCTTCGTCGTCTCTCGTTTTCGGTCGCGTCGGGGGGGGCGGGGGTCGAACCCCCGAATAACCTCATCATTATTCGAGCGAAGCGAGATTTCTGGTCTGGCCTGAGGTCTCACCGCAACATGGCGCTCCATCCGGGAAAAAAGCTTGTGCGTGCGTGCGCGTGTCTGTTCGCTTGTTCTAGGTCTTAAGAGTACATGACTTCATTTTAGACCACAGGGGTCAGCAGACGCACTTTTTATTTTTCGGAGCACACAGCGGATTGCGTATAGAACACACGCACTGCGGGCGACACCACACAGCAGACAACACACGCACAGGAGACAGCGTACCAATAACAGGCAACACACACGTGTTACGAGGTTCACACGTGTAGCAATCCCTGAAGACCCTGATGATGACTCACTTGTTTGTTGTTGTTGATCAATTCTGATACAGCAGCACATTGCTGACTCCTGCTTCGGATAGACTGAACAGAAGCGGGCGCGGGCCGCTCCTTGCTGAGAGGGGGGATGCTTTGGCTATATCCCCTGTTTCGAAACAATCAAAAGGAGCTACAGTCGGCAAGTTTGGGTCGCCCACGGGGGTACTGCTCTCTGCATCTCCTATAAACAGCCCGTCCAAGTCGATGGTCTTCGCAGCTTGGATGAATGATTTTCGCCACGAGTCAAATCCGTGGCTACGGCTTTTTCCGTCTAGGAGCGGAGCATTGACCGTTACCCTCTTCATGTGGCTACTGCTATAGCCGTCGAGGTATTCTCCATTTCCTCGAATCACGGGTATCTCACCTGGGGGGTTTAACCCCCTCGCTTCCCCGTAGTCCGGTCCTATGCCCGGGCCCACTCCGGCTGGTCCAACAGGGTTCGCTCCCGATCTGCTGGCCCAGCCGCCTTCCAGCAGCGACCGTGGTCCTTGCCCACTATCTCTCGTTTGCTGCTGGAGAAATCCCCCGCCACCGCCGAGCGGCAGCGTGGGCTCTTCTCGTTGGCCTCTGGGGGCAGCAACCCAGCCACCCCTACTGGCTGCATCCGCCACGACGCTGCCAGGCTCCTTCTTC